TTTAGTTAACAATATTATTCTTTTTGTTGTCCCCTAGAAAGAATCTTTTTTTATGCTATGGTTATTTTATTGCAAATTTGAAGACAAAAGTACACGTAGGCTTTCACTATGTACTTTAGAGGTTTAAGATACATTACGCCAGTAAAATTAGACCCCACATCCACATCCACACACACACAAAACAACAGCAAGGCAAATTACGTTTAAATTTTGCCTTGAAGGTGCACGCCATTAGACTTCTGCTTCAATCCGTAACTGACCTAAACAAGACTTCAATAGCCGCCGCCAGAGCCTTCCCGGGGCTATTTTCACGTGCGGTGAGCCGCTTTTGTCCACGACGGTTGGGTTGTCCGGCTAACAGCGACTTTCATTCCGTTACGACACTGACAGGGCGTGGTTGACATTCACGTGACAGGCCGTTGTTACCGCGAGCCTCTCACGACATTCCCAAGTAAAATTTCTCTTGAGAGCAGCAAAATCATCCAGATATTTTTTTGCTCTCCACGCTGATCACATTAAGGCTAACTTACACGCCATTCAAGATTATTTAATAGATGTATTTACATATGGCCATGAGAAAATGTGTGGTTTCAGCGTCATCTCTAAAATTGACATCTCCGGTCTTCCAATTTTTCAATAGCAAGCTGAAAGCGTCTTAAAAGCCCAAACGACTTTTCTTTCATCAGTTTGTGCCATTGTTAGGAATACGTGAGAGTTTATTAATATGCGCAAATCATAGATTGACCTTTATGAGTCACCAATCATAAAATAAGCAGTGGCGTTGCTAAAGTTCGTGCATCCCCCCCCCGGGCGAGCCAATAATTTTACTCCGCCCCTTCCACTAAAAAAGTGACACCAATGGCCAACCCGTGCACTACCCCCACCCCCAACCCCCCTTCCTACGCCACTAAAATTAAGCAATGAGAAACAGTACGACTTCGATTTTTCCTTAAATTATCATATAAAGTTGACTGTTGATTTAAAAATATCATAAAAAGTTGACAGTACATTTACAAAATTTGATATTTAATATCATATAAAGTTGACTGTTCATTTACAAATATCATAAAAAGTTGACTGTTCATTTACAAATATCATTTAAAGTTGACTGTTCATTTACAAATACAATTTAAAGTTGACTGTTCATTTAAAATATCATAAAAAGTTGACTGTTGATTTACAAATATAATATAAAGTTAACTGTTCATTTGAAATATCATATAAAGTTGACTGTTCATTAAAATATGATATAAAAGTTTAGCCTATGATTAATGGCTAGGTTACGAATAAGCGGACGTCCCAATTCTAAAGCTAATAAATCATAGAGCACCGTTCTCCACACTATGGCACCACACCAGAGATAAAAAAAACCAACACCAAATACCGCAAGAGCTACAATCAGGTTCGAAGCTTTCCGACAAATTATGTTCACCCTGTGGGGAGGTGGCAGGTTGAAGTCAATCTGTGGAGCTTGAAGAACCACATCAAATCCAAAACTCATGGAGGGCCCAAGACTCTCGTATGATCTGGTTTTTTTAATTGTCGTTTTTATTTATTTTTTTTTTTTTTTTTTTGGGGGGGGGGGTCAAAACGTCGTATATGACTTGGTTTCTGCAATAAAAGTTACACTTAAATTGAAGATTATAAAAGAAAGGGGAGTGTGTTTAATTAACTATCTTCGCATGTTTCAATCCAGACAATACGAGCTCTTTGGACTTAATCTTTATGGAATGGACACAAGAAGAACAAGTGTCATCAAAAGTCATGACATTTAGGCTATGCTAGCCGGCCATCTTGGGTTAATGTGTCAGCCATCATGGGTTAATATTGAACGATGGTCGATTCGAATGAGTGGGTCGGGGATCTTTGTTTCAACAGAATACATTTTTTTTCTCCTCCGTGCTTGCTTAGCCCGTGTTGAGAACCACTGCATTAAAAGCGGAATACAATCTTGTGCAATGAAAACCACAGCGTTGGAGAGGGTAAACATCAGCGGGCATGGGTCAGCGCCGTGTCCAAGTGGTGGACTCAATCCGATATTTGAAGAACAATTGAGAACGGATGAAACTCGTTTCCGGTGAGTTACTCCCCTTGTTCTAGCGTAGTAGTAGTCTGGTGTGGGTTAGAGAGCTCTCTCTGGCATCAATACAAATTGCATATCTAAGACACATCTGTCAAAATAACAGAGGACGACGTGCGCAACTGGACAATATTTATTAAAAGAACAAAAACAACACACAAAAAAACAACAACACCGTAATTGCAATTTTCGACATCATATTGAAAGTTACAAATTACAAACATTTAGAACAAGCTCTTGCTAACTCTCTCTTGAACTGCAGCAATCTTATAATTAAATTATTATATTAACATCCAAAGAAATGGTTAAAATGAGAAACTAATTCAACACTTTACGATGTTGTTGTTGTTGTAGATGATGTTGATGTTGTTGTTTATGTTGTTGTTATTTATGTTGTTGTTTATGTTGTTGTTGATTTTGTTGTTGATTTTGTTGTTGTTGTTGTTTATATTGTTGTTGATGTTGTTGTTGATGTTTATATTGTTGTTGATGATTTTGTAGTTGATGATTTTGTTGTTGAAATGTTTTTTTGTATTTGCGTGTTTCTGCAAGACAGCGAACAGCGCCACCAGCCCATGATATTTGTGGCGAACGCGTGACCATTAGAGGTGGCTTAACCTTTTTTTTAATTTACCGTTAATGTCTAAGAAAGAGTTTTGTTCGAATAAAATTGTTCAACGGAATGTGGGTCAAAATAAAATTGTTGAAAAAAATCCATCATTTTTACAAATAATAAATTAAAAAATAGTTTCCATTTCCCACTCGTAGCTACCTTTAGAAAACATGCGAGAAATGTATCAAATGAGTAAATAACGTTAAACAAATTTAACTTGGAGCTAACGTCCGGTCAAACTAATCTACGTTCCACAACCTACTGCTTCCACCAAGACTTCGTCTCACCTTGACATTGGCGATATTAGGAACAACCAGATTTGTAAACCACTGTAATCAAGTTTAAAAAAAAAAAAAATGAAGTTTGGAAAAAAAAAATAAATAAAAAGAATCAATATTATTTGTATAAACATTTCCATCACTTTTGCTTGATCAGAAATATTCAGGGACGCTTACTCGTTTATTCTTTGGGTGGTGTTTTTTGCTAAGGGCCTTTATATATTCTTACGCCGCCCAGAGCGCTCAGCAATACACTGACACTCAGGCTTCTGGTATGCATTGATGGATTTTAGATTTTTTTTTTTAATGCTAAAAAACTATATAAAAAAAAAATCGGAACTTTAAAAAGAAAGCTTAACGTTCGGTAGGCTCAGTACTATCTCTATTGGTTTGACTTATGTTAATGTACATAAATGTATTCTTTCACTATTTTTTTATGTAACGATAAAATGTCAAGACATACGTGAAGCCATATTTACAGTTTCTGTAGTGGTAATTTTAATGCCGTTTTCTCCAGATTATTTATACATTTTAGAGCTATTTCAACGGAAAACAAAACGAAATGCTTTCAATGGTAAAGTGCTGTAACTCATAGCCAACACTTGTGAACTGCTGAGTAGCGGTAACAGGAGCCTAGGGAAACAATAGAACTTGACTTGTTAATTCTGAATGGGCAGATGGAATAACAGGTAAAAAAAAGATAAACAGAGACGTCCTGACCCCCACCCCCAGAATGTCAGGGACGGTGTAATGGTTCTGTTTGATTGTTTTATTTCTAAAATAGTTCGAGTTTTTAAGCAACCAGTGTCACTATTTAAAGCCAACCCCTTCCCCCTTTTCAACTCGCCTCTCTTGTAAACAGTTTTTATTGATACACTGATAAAATGCAGGTCAATTGAGTCTAAAGTTTTCATTATTTATAATTAGAGCATTGGACAAGCCTACAAGAGACGCTTATGTATCTCATTAGTGATTGGGATAAAGCCTGGACTATGGACTGCCCTATTTGAATAGCTTTATGTTGGGTTGATTGGTTATTAAAATCGAAGTTTTAAAGTCAGAAATCTGTGTCCGTTCTATAAATTCAATAGATAATAATATCTTTGCAATTATTGGATCGCTTTTGTTGGTGAAATTTAGAAGGTTATTGGCTCATTTTCAAAAAATGTTGGCTGATTTGGTGATATATGCTGGATACTTTGGTAATATATCTTTATTAATTTCGTGATAGGTGTTAGCTTATTTGATGATAACTGTTAGATTATTTGGTGATATATGTTGGCCGATTTGGTGATACATGTTGGCCAATTTGGGGATATATGTCGGCTAATTTGAGATACATGGTGGCAAATGTGGTGATAAAATTTAGCTAACTTAGAGTTATATGTTGTTAATATTGAGATATATGGTGGCTAATGTGGTGATACATGTTGGCTTATTCGCTGATGCATATTGGCTAATGTTGTAATATATGTTGGCTAATGTGCTGATACATATTGGCTAATGTTGTTTTACATGTTGGTTAGATAACTTTGCTCACGATCACGATTATCACGTGACGTACACTTGTTAGAAACTCTTGTCCCTGTTTCCCAGATTTTGTTCAGATTTCAGAAAATTGAGAATAAATTTGAGCCCTTTAATCCTGTCAAGTGGATCTCAACAAGTGGTACGCGTACCCCCCGTGGGATGTCTGCGGAAAACGGCAAAAACTGATTTTTTTTTTACGCCCATACATTTACGAGATGTTATATTTCAATATAATGTGGAGGCTTCATATCAGTAAACGTCTAATGAATGGGTACGGGAGAGAAAAAAAAATGTCGAGCTTCTAGGCTTGGGCTCCAGACAGACGTGGCAAGCTTAGCCATATCCTGCTGATGATCCAGATGCCGAACAATGAGGTCGGAGAGACAAAGAAAATACGTACCATTTAACCCTTTGACAAAATATTCTAATGTTACTGTCCCACAGATTAAAAACAACAACAACCCAGTATCGTAAACACTAAGAAACGAAACACATCACAATGAAGACATCACAGATCATGATCAGCACGTGCTGTGTCTTGAGCGTCATTTTCAGCCTCTGCTATGCTCCACCCAATTGGCGGCCCATGGGGAGGTTCGGGAAAAGGACAACAGGTAATAGTTGTTAAAAAAACAAAAAAAACAACAACTTTACACGCATGTTTTATTATATTCTTTCAGTTTTCACTTGTCATAAGAAACAGTCAATAATTCTCTCGTCAAAATTGAACCGACTTTTGTTGTCCAATAAATTGAAATACAATGAAGACATCACAGATCATGATCAGCACGTGCTGTGTCTTGAGCGTCATTTTCAGCCTCTGCTATGCTCCACCCAATTGGGGGCCCATGGGGAGGTTCGGGAAAAGGACAACAGGTAATAGTTGTTAAAAAAAAAAAAAAACAACAACTTTACACGCATGTTTTATTATCTTCTTTCAGTTTTCACTTGTCATAAGAAACAGTCAATAATTCTCTCGTCAAAATTGAACCGACTTTTGTTGTCCAATAAATTGAAATGTTTCTATCCCGCCCAGAAGATGATAATGTGCCTGATTTTGGGATTTCCCATCTACAAGACATCCCCATCGAACTGATGTTTTCTAAGAACGAGCTCAGCAGAAGGAACTCCAAGCCGAGATTGTGTTCCACCTCTGGCGTAGCTGGATACCCGCCCTGCGATGCGCAAGTCAATGCGATGTAAGGCTTAAAAAGAGTTTAGTCAGAGCAGTTTAGTCAGAGCACTTTAGTCAGAACAGTTCAATTCAAAGGATAGATACGCAAGGAGTTTCGTTAGGGCATGCATCTCTTTAAGCCGAGATGGCGGCTTTAGATGTGCACGACAAAGTTACTTCAAACACTAGTGTATGGTGCCCCAATGTGCCTGATACATGGCTTAGTGTTCAGTTATGGTGCCCCAATGTGCAAGATACATGGCTTAGTGTTCAGTTATGGTGCCCCAATGTGCCAGATGCATGGCTTAGTGTTCAGTTATGGTGCCCCAATGTGCAAGATACATAACTTATTGTTCAGTTATGGTGCCCCAATGTGCCAGATACATGGCTTATTGTTCATTTATGGTGCCACAACGTGCCAGATACATGACTTATTGTTCAGTCATGGATCCCTAATGTGCAAGATACATGGCTTATTGTTCTGTCGTGGCGCTCCCATGTGCTAGATAATGGCATTGTTCAGTTGTGGCGCCCTAATGTGCCAGATACGTGGCTCACGTTTCAGTTTTCCGTTGCACCAAAATGACGTGCTATGGCGCTGTGTTATACCACACCATGTTCAACTAATAATCCCTTTGGACCTCTTCAAGGTTCTCCTCAACGCCTTAGGCAGCTTCCCGGGAAGCCACATGATTTCTTAACAATAGAAGTTATTGTCTTAATTAGTTTGATGTATATTAGTGTTCCTGGTAGCTGTGGGGGGGGGGGCGGGGGGTGGGGGGATTGGGGAGGGGGGTGGGGGAATGGGGGGGGAGGAAGTTTACTGTCGGTTTTTAAGATTGAATTTTAAAAAAAAGTTAGGTGACAACATATATCAGCACAACACAGTCTAAATATTTAGTTCAAATCAAATTAAAATAAAACGATGCATTTATCTCAAGGATTAAAAAAAAAATGTCTTTAGAAGTCGTTAGTTAACAATTATTTGATCACCTTAAGGCCGAGACGTTCCATTATTAATATCTCTGATTAAAGAGTGCTACAGAAGCTAAAAATCAGTACCCCAGCTAAGTCGAAGTGTAGCATTTAAGTTGATCCCGTACTTAGTTTTCCGGAATAAATGATAAATCGCATTGAGGGGGCGAAACTATGAAGACTTTTTTCCTCCGTCGCGTGACCCACCTCCAACACCAAACTGACCCGTGTATCTTCACTGTGTTTATTGAAGGGTAACACGTGAAAGCTGAAACTTCGGAGCGTTGACAAACGCATTTAGGCGTTCAAGATATGCAGCATTTTCAGTATTTAGTTTTGGCGCATACTGAATATACATAATTATTTTTAGAGCTGGCGATTTAAAAAAAATTATTAGTTAATTTTTTTTTTGGTGAGTGGGTTTTTTTTTCCAGTGTAATAAAATCCCCCCCCCCCCTCACTCTTTGCAACGACAGTCATAGTTCTGCCACAAGCTTTGAATTTAATTTTGGATTTAGTATCAAGACTGTAGTCAACAGACTCTGTGGGATAAGGGTAGTATCAAGACTGTAGTCAACAGACTCTGTGGGATAAGGGTAGCATCAAGACTGTAGTCAACAGACTCGATGGGATAAGGGTAGTATCAAGACTGTAGTCAACATACTCTGTGGGATAAGGGTAGTATCAAGACTGTAGTCAACAGACTCTGTGGGATAAGGGTAGTATCAAGACTGTAGTCAACAGACTCTGTGGGATAAGGGTAGTATCAAGACTGTAGTCAACAGACTCGATGGGATAAGGGTAGTATCAAGACTGTAGTCAACAGACTCTGTGGGATAAAGGTAGCATTCGATCCAGCGGGATGTGTCTCTGCGGTTCAGGTGACCTGGTGTAAGGCTCTTTAGGGAAACAACAACATACTTCGTAATAAAAAAACAGCCAGGCAGACAGGAATTCAGGCAGCCAGGATGGCAGGTAGGCAGGCAGCCTGGGAGGCAGCCAGGCAGGCAGCCAGGCACACAGCCAGGCAGACAGCCAGGCAGGCAGACAAGCAGGCAGGCAGCCAGGGAGGCAGCCAGGCAGGCAGGCAGGAAGGAAGCCAGGCAGCCAGGCAGGTAGGCCACCAGGAAGTCAGGCAGCCAGGCAGGCAGGAAGGCAGGCAGGCAGGCAGCCATGCAGACAGGAAGGCTGGCAGCCAGGCAGGCAGGCAGGAAGGGATGCAGGAAGTCATGCAGGAAGGCAGACAGGAAGGCAGGCCACCAGGCAGGCAGGAAGGCAGGCAGGAAGGCAGGCAGGCAGGCCGGAAGGTCCCCTATTCCAATAGCAATCCCATCAGCCCCCCCCCCAACCCATAAGATCCACCTTACATTAACTGAAATGGTCAGGTTATAACAAAGACAATTAACGACAGTGGTATTTTTTTTAGAACATCCCATTCTTGCGGTAGAACAGAGGGTGGGGCATGCAAGGCCTGTTTTTAATTAACATGAAGATGTCTCTCAGACATGCAAAAGCGAAATTCTTAAAGGATTAGTGGAGCCACATGGCATATTTCATTGGGCCAGGAGCTAAAACATCTCGAGAACCCCTACGGTTAAAACCGTGCCTTCTGTCTGTCACACAAATCAAGTTAAAAGTCATTGATTATTTCCATTTATCTTTGTTGTTGAATTTTGATTATAGGAAACCACCCACTCTTGCTATTGTTAGGAGTTCATATAATAGAAATTCGGATAATCGATGGTTTACAAAATTTAATAAAAAAAACAACAACAAACAAAAGGACTTCGGTCTTGTTTTAATAAAATGTCGCGAATTCGTTCCTTCGCGTGTCTTAATTTGCGAAATGACTGCCTAACAAAACTCTTTTAACCGCATTAAACAACAACAACAACGGATGCTTGGCCGCGTCAGAGTTCAAAGTGCATCTATCTGGACAATTCAGGGCTCAACTATCGGACCAGGGTCAAACGATAGACTGACGGCGAGCAATATTTCATATTTGGTTGGGGAGGGGATCAGTTTATCTCAGCACGTGTGAGCCCTGCCCGTCACTCAACGACAACGAAATAACCGCTTTCCATTGATCCGGTCCGGCCTGGTGTTTATCCGTGCATGGCAACCCTCAAAGACTGACACGTCGGTGTGTCACTGACGCGACAGTTTGAGTGAGCCGAGACTTGGGACCTTGGTGTCTGTAGTTTCACTGGGACCACCTATCGAGATATCCCAGTTGATGAGATGGTTTGATAAATGTGGCGGCTGTTGTTTTTATTTCAACATTGGTTTTGAGATTATACACAAAACTGACTAAATAGTTTGACATACTCTCGCTGTCTATTTCTAGACTGGTTTGACAACAAAATTCAATGAGTTGCAGATCATTAAGACTAGTTTGATGTTGTCTAATGATGATTTTGATCTACTTGAATGACAAGTGGACAGTGGGTAGGAAGGCACGAAGCTGCGGGTCCGCGGCCTGCGGGCCACTGGGTGTTGTACCGTAATATCTCTTGGGGTGTTCTGGTAAAGGCTATCTGATGTTATTGTAGCAGCAGGAGATAGCAGTTCTCCCAATGAAATCTAACGGCCGAACGGTTATGATTTAATTATTGGGTAATCTGTATTGTAAAATCAGAAACATTAAGAACTGAAATTATATATATATATATATATAGTTTTCATGGACTGATTAAAGGATTGTGAATAGCAGTGCAACCAAAGGTCTATGACAAGATCTAGGACAAGACCTATGACAAGACCCATCACAAGACCCATCACAAGACCCATGACAAGACCTATGACAAGACCTATGGCAAGACCTATGACAAGACCCATGACAAAACCTATGACAAGAATATGACAAGACCTATGATAAGTCCCATGACAATACCTAAGACAAGGCCTAGGACAAGACCCATGACAAGACCTAAGACAAGACCAATTACAAGACCTATGACAAGACCTTTGACAAGACCTAAGACAAGACCTATAACAAGACCTAAGAAAAGACCTAGATCAAGACCATTGACAAGACCCTTAACAAGACCCATGACAAGAACTATGACAAGACCCATGACAAGACCCATGACAAGACCCATGACAAGACCCATGACAAGACCCATGACAAGACCTATGACAAGACCCATGACAAGACCCATGACAAGACCCATAACAAGACCTATGACAAGACCCATGACAAGACCCATGAGAAGACCTATGACAAGACCCATGGCAAGACCCATAACAAGACCTATCACAAGACCCATGACAAGACCCATGAGAAGACCTATGACAAGACCCATGACAAGACCCATGACAAGACCTATGACAAGACCTATGAAGATGAAGTTGGGACGCATCCAATCTGTGCATTAGTGAGTCGTTTGCTTCCCTCTGAAGCCCCTCCCCCCCTCCCCCAATACATGATGCAGTTCCATCTTAGGACCAGTGATCTTGTTTTTGTTTGGATTACATTCCACGCCGTGAAACACTGTACTAACATGGAAGCAGTTGCTTGGGCGGGTGGGGGGAGGAGGGGGTAGCTGGGGGGGGGGCTCATTTTCTTTAAATTATGGGGTGGCAATTTCGACCCACTTCAAGCTTTATTTCCGGGAAAAATGGGGGGGGGGGGGGGGGGGGGGGTGGCTGGGGGGGGGGCTCATTTTCTTTAAATTATGGGGTGGCAATTTCGACCCACTTCAAGCTTTATTTCCGGGAAAAAAAAAAGAAAGGAGGGGGGTGGTTGGGTGACAAAAAGCTTGGCCCATCTCGGGAGGCAACGACCCCTAGCTGCAAGCCACCACTGCAAGGAAGGACTCTTACCATGGCTCAGCAACAACAACTCGAAATTTGAAGTACAGCTCCACTCCAACCTTGACATGGTGACGTGATATGCCCATTATCAAGTCACGTGATTGGTGGACTGGAAATGATGGGTGGGTCCCCACGTTGGTGGGGGGGGGGCAGGGAAGTGAGAGGAAATTTGATCAAGGGGTTCGGCAGGATATGACCTTGACCACATATAGGGTAGATTTAAGTTAGAAATTGATTTG